TGAAACATTTTCTATAAATCTCTTAGATGCAGTCAATTTCATTCATAGAGCTTGGCAAAAAGTTAGCCGAAAAACCATTGCAAATTACTTTAAGCATGGGGGATTTGTAAGAAAAGAAAATGATTATGAACCAGACGATGAAATTCCACTTAACGAATGGTTAGAAAGGTATAAAGACTCTGACTACGAGTATGACACAGACGAAGATGTCCCAATGTTGTCGAAGAACAAGTTAAAACCAAATTGCGTCATTTCAATTTCTTCGAATATGTGAGCATTTATAATGGCATTCTTACAAGAGAAATGTTGACCGATGAGCAAATTATAGACGCCGTAACCTCATCTACAACTTTAAGCGATAATCAGAAAGATGACGATTTAGGTGAAACATAGTCTACTGTAGACACTAACGCTGTTCCAACCATTTCTGAAATGACAAAAAAAGTGTCAGAAACTCGAAATTTTCTACAATCACGCCAAGTTCCTAATCATATCTGGGAGTCCTTTTGTGATCTTGAAAACTACATAAATAACATCTATTTTGCAGCAGAAATGTACAAACAAAAATTACAGACTTTATGAAGTAGATTTCAAATTGAATTTTGTTTATCTTTTTGTGTTCTTTTTAGTCATACCTACTAACTTCTACTACTCTGTAAAAATAAAGAAATAAACGACACCACGCACTAGTGCGGTAATAAATATGTCGATCATTATCAAAGTTGTGTCCTTAAATTGCACATTTTTAAATAAGTTCAAGCGATGATCTGCCATGTGATATTCAGAACAAAGCTTTTAATGTTCTGTCGGATCTTGTGCCAGGGAAGCGACGGAAGAAATGCCAAGAAATACCTTCAAGAAGAACCAATACCGATTGATTGGTGCCAGAAACGATGCAATGAACGAAAGATACACACACAAAAAACATCGAACACCAAAGGGATGAAGGATGAATACACAAACATCTTTCTTACTTTGTTAAAATATACTAATAATCCTTTCTCGCTTGTTAAGTTGAGTACCTTTCGTTCACTGCACCATTTTTGGTACCAATCAATTGGGATTGATTCTTCTTGAAGGTATTTCTTGGTATTTCTTCCGTCGTTTCGCTGGCACAAGATCCGACACAACATTAAAAGCTTCATTAAAATGTGGAGTTTTAAGACACAATTTTGACAATTTTATTACTAATTAATTTTCCCCAAATATTAATTAAAATTGTATATACTTTCCTGACTGTGTCTCAATTCCAAATCAAATTCATTCCTGGGTTTCAGTCATTTATTGTCTCTATTTATCAATCAAAATACGCTTCGGTGTATTTTTCCACCATCATCAGTTTTATGTGTAGCGTTGTTGCTGCTTTAAGCCTTGGCATTGCATTATTAAAATGCATGCATTAAAATAAATGCATTATTAAAGCGCCCTCTGAAGTGAATAGGTCGAACTAATATTGGCAAAAGCTTCCTCTCCCGTATCTATCGGATCTACGAATAACGAAATTTTGCATTTTTACTTAGCCTGGCCGAAGTGCGGGAGCAAATTTGTGGGTTCCACTTGCAAAATCCTCCCAATTAAACCCACAGCGGGAATTTCTCGAAACTTTCGGTGCAAATATAAAGAAAAGTAAGAAAAGTACTCTTTCCAGTCGAGTATTTTCTATTGCTCTAT